ACTCCAACTCAAATAAATAAATAAATAAATAAATAAATAAATAAATAAATAAATAAAGATTCCCAGGTGATTCAAATGCTTGTTCAAGTTTGAGAAGCTCTGCACCTCGGTGTTTCTGAGGTTGTCCTCAGAACAGCAACCTGATGGTTGCTGGCTATAGCTGTGCCATGAGCTGTTTAGCTCAGTTATTAGGAACTTGGTGCAATGAGCTAGCTTCATACCAACCAGCTGACTTTGCACACAGAAAACTATCTGATGATCTTCAGTATGGTTATCCATCTTGCAAATGTATGTTCTTGCGTGCTAGGCATTTGTATTCTATTTCCCTAGGCTGATTCTTTAAGAATGATCGACACTGAATGATCCTGGAATCATCAAGGATGCTTGTTGAAAATACATATTATTCAAGTTCATTCCTAGTAAATCAGAACAGGTCCAAGCCTCTGTCTTTATAACAATCTTTTCAGATACATCACGCGATACTGAAGCGGGAGAACCACAGGTCTGGTGGTTTCCATGTGCCTTAAATCACCATCTGTTTGCTGATTAACTCCCAAATTTATATACTTACCCCTGACCCCTCCATCATGATCCAGACCTGATGGTTACAAGGAACCTACGTAAGGGATTCTGGATGGATCTGTGCAAAATTCACCCTGTATGGAAAAACAACTCGAAGTTTTTGTTCTATTGGCAACTGGTCAGTGATGTGCTCTTCAAATACAAAAGCTGGGGCATGTATTTTGCACCAGCTCCTGGAAACAGGCCAAGAAGCTCCAGAGTCAGTAGGTTAATAACTTCCATTGAATGAAATGGGCTTTCAGCACATTGATCAGATTCTTTTCTTTTATAGTCCTTCCTATGACTGGATGAGAAGAGTCACTCAGAGGAAAAAAGTGTCCAAGAAAGGAAAAGCCTGTCTGCTGTTTGACCATCTGGAGCCTATTGAATTGGCTGAGCACCTCACTTTTCTGGAGCATAAATCTTTTAGAAGGATCTCAGTAAGAAACTTGACATTTATTCTTCCAAGGATAACAAACACCATGCCAACTTTCCCAAGAGCTGCATTTTCATACTCTGAACTGCTGGCAGCTTCTCTCACTGTGCTCTGCTGGAAAAGTGCCCTTAATTCACAGGAACAATCCCTTTTAACCAAAGATAAATATTAGCCTGTCTTTATTTTACGGCCCAGGAGCTATATTTCTGTCGCTCTTTTCAATGTCTCCTTTCATAGGATTAAAGTATGATTTTTCTAAATACTCAGTGGAGATTTAACCATTCAAGGTTGATTTCACTCCATTGACTTCTCTCAAGTGAATGTTTTGCTAGACTTTTCATTTGTGGGGGGGGATATTTGTTTAGGTTGGTCTTTGTAGAAATGCCTATTTATGGGTATAAGTTGAAAAATAGGAATTGTGGGCTTTAAGGAGAATCTCAAAATCAGGTTGTTTCTTTTCCTGAATTAAACTTTTCTTGCCTACGCGTCTTGATAGGGCCTTGTGCCTTCTATTTCTTTTCTTCCTCCGGATTGTGGTCTCTTCTTAGCTGCCTACTCACTACCCTCCTGCTAAGATAACATTTCCACATGGGTTCACCATCAGCCAGTTGCTCTGCTTTGTCTCACAGAGCTCTGAGGAAGTCACTCCTCCTTTTCCAAGATGTCAGGGAATGAATTACATTATTGCTTGCAAAGAAGACCATCTTGGTTGGAAGCAAGAACTTCTGAAAGACTGCTTCTGTCACTAAGTAATCCCATTTGGAGAGAACCCTAGTGATTTCCTGCAGGCAGGCCATGGGAGGGAATCCCTGCTTTCTATGAAAGAAGGCTCATGTGTATTTGACGATGGCCATGCGAACTTTCTGGAAATGTGTCTCTTTTGCTAAAGAGCTGCCTTACTGCGATGGATATTTTTTTCTGATCTTTTTCTTGAAACAACTTTGCAGAATGATTCTAGTGTAAAATCATTATATTCATGTTCAGTCCTTCTTCTTTATTCTATGTCACTGTATGGGTAACCCGCCTGATCATTGGACTCACCACCATGCATTCATCTGCTGGTGATCCTGGTCCTTTAAGTCTTGGGTGTTAACAAACGCCCTAGGTGGATTTCATGATCCAATAGATTTGAGATTCACTAGACTATGACTTTGAGTCTTGGCCCCTCCTACCCCCACCAATACTGAGATGTGTAATAGTCTATGTCTGTGTGTGTGGTGGTGGGGGGGTTTGAAATGCAGCAAAATAACATGTTCAAGGCATATGTGTATTCAAACTTGTAGGATGCCATTTTAAGTATGAAACGAAAGAAATCGTGACGTTGTTATGAAACACTATCCTGCCTTTTCTATGCAACATTCTAGTTTCTGATTTTGCAAAGGCTCATGATAATTCAGAATCTCTGAATCTTCCATTACTAGTTCACGGATTACCAAAGCTATGTCATTCACGGCTGCTTGGAGGACAACCCGACCTTGGAGAGATCGATTGCTTTATTTAATGGAATTTCTAAGTGGGTCCAGTTGATGGTTCTTAGCAAACCCACACCCCAACAAAGGGCGGAAGTCATCACCAAGTTTATAAATGTTGCAAAGGTATGTCTGGTGATGAGAATAGGGTTCTTGGGTTCTGGATATTCATCCACTGAGGAAATTTGGTGTTCACAATTCAAGGGCATCAATTAAACTATTCACTGATGTCTAATGAACAAATTCTATTTCTCTCATGCGAGAAGACTGCTTTCAAAAAACCATGCTTAGAAGAACTTAATATAGCTTTCTGTGAAGTAATTGTATGTTTTTCTGATGGATTCTGTTTGAGCTACATTGATGTTATTTTTCCTTGTTTTTTTTTTTTTTTGTTTTGTTTTGTTTTTGAGTTGGAGTCTCACTCTGTCGCCCAGGTTGGAGTGCAGTGGCACACTCACCGCCACCCCAGCATCGACCTGCTGGGCTCTAGTGATCCTTTCGCCTCAGCCTTCCAGGTAGCTGGAACTTCAGGTGTGGGCTATCATGCCCAGCTAACTTTTAATTTATTGTAGAGAGAAGGTCTCACCAAGTTGTCTGGGCTGGTCTCGAACCCACAGGCTCAAGGCAATCCACTAGCCTCAGCCTTCAAAAGTGCTGGGAAGACAGGCTGAGTCACTGAGGCCAGGCTTTTTTTTTTTTTTTGAGTCAAAGTCTCACTCTGGCGCCCAGGCTGGAGTGCAGTGGCATGCTCACGGTCACCACAGCCTCAACCTGCTGGGCTCTGGCAACCCTTCTGCCTCAGCCTTCCAAGTAGCTGGAACTACCATGCCCAGCTAAGTTTTTGATTTTTTGTAGAGATGAGGTCTCGCCAAGTTGCCCAGGCTGGTCTTGAACCCCTGGGCTCAGGCAGTCCTCTCGCCTCAGCCTCCCAAAGTGCTGGGATTACAGGCTTGAGCCACTGTGCCCGGCCTTTCTTTGTTATTAAAATTGTGTATGAATTCATCTGTAATTTGGAAAGTTCACAATAACTTAAAGATCTTATACAATACTGATGTCAACACTTTTATTGCAGAAGCTCCTTCAGCTCAAAAACTTTAACACCCTGATGGCAGTGGTGGGAGGCCTGAGCCATAGTTCCATTTCACGCCTCAAAGAGACCCATTCTCATCTTTCTTCAGAAGTTACAAAGGTACGGCGGATCTGATTGATTCAAAAAAATCATTTTTTTAAGTTGTTTAGGTTTACTATCCTCCTAACAAACGCTGCTCAGAATGGGTATGTTTTCCTCTTAAACCAAGGGTAGGTTACACCTGGCGGAGAAAGTTAAAAGGGAATAGTCACACCAGCTGAGTCAACCTGAAAAACAGGTTAGAGATGGTGGTAAGTGTACCAGTAAGAGTACTGTGGGGCTGGATGTCGTGGCTTACACCTGTCATCCCAGTACTTTAGGAGGCCAAGGCGAGAAGATTGCTGGAGCAGGAGTTCGAGACCAGCCTGGGTAACATAGCGAGACCTTGTCTCTACAGAAAAAAAAAAAAAAAGCTGTGCATGGTGGCATGTGTCTGTGGTCCCAGTTACTAGGGAAGCTGAGGTGGACAGATTGCCTGAGCACAAGAGGTCAAGGCTGTGCAAGAGGTCAAGGCTGTGGTGAGCCATGATCGTGCCACTGCACTCCAGCCTGGGCAACAGAGTGAGACCCCAGCTCAGAAAAAAAAAAAAAGAAAGAAAAGAAAAGAATAATAAGAATGCTTTGACATACCACTAACATATTGTAGTTGTAAATATTCAACATACAGTTATTTGGTGCTTACTATGAGACTATGTGATGGCACTATGATAGACACAGAGAGTACAAAGTGAATAAAATAGAAATAATTCCTACCCTGCCTCCCGAAATAAAGTCACTGAATGTCTATTCTAGTTATAACACTGTATTTAGCACGTTGGAAGACACAAAGGAAGGGGAAGACATAGACCTTGTATAGAAATCCTCAAATTTAGAGCTGAGTTGTCAGGAATTTAAAAAAAAAGATCATTTCCCAAATCAAGTTTTTCTGCCATAGTTATTTTCAGACTACAGTAATAATTATTTTCCTTCTTGAGCAAACAGGAGCATTTCATCCTTATGGAAGGATTTTCTTGTAAAAGTATACTTTGCTGTGTCCACAAGGACACTTTCAGCTGTGAGTTTAAAAAGAAAAAGAGAGTCATATTTCTAAATGGATTAAACAATAAGGAAAGGTATCATTGAAAATACCTGGAAGCCCAGAGCTAGTACAGGCTCCAGGCAAAGTCTTACCTGAGTTCTGACTCAGTCACTCTGCCTTTCTTTAAGTATCAGGGGTTGGTTGGTTAGTTGGTTGGTTTCATCAGACTGGCTTCTCTCCTGATTGAGCTGTCTGCAGCTACAGGAAAATTCGGTTCTCTTGGTGATGAAAGTTGAAGTTAGGGACGACTTCTCACTTCAACCCTGTCCCCATCTGCCTAAAGACCTTCTGTTTAGACAGATTGAGCCATCTCAGTGCTCATGTCCACCCCTGGACCAATAGCAGGTGCTGGAGGAGTGCCACGTGCTGATTGGTTGAGCACTGACTTCCTGAACCAATCACAAGTCAGAGGGATGCCATTCCTCTGATGGTACATCACAGCTCCTTCTTGGTCCAGGGAATGGAAATGGCTCTGAGACCCACGAGGCTGCTTTGGAAGAGTAGACTCATCCGAATTGGGATGTATTGGGGGGTCTGTGGAGGAACCCACACTAGCCTGTCCCTACAAACAAGAGGAAGGAAGCGGTAGAAACATTGCTATCTAACTGTCGATGCTGTCTCATTCCAAGTATGATGGGATTCATTCTGTCAGTGTTTTCTTTTTGTTTTGGACTAAATTTCAAGTAAAAAGCCAACTTTAAATGTTGTGAAGAATAAGAATCCGATAGAGGTTTATAGAGGCTTGGAACCCACCACCAGTGTGTCTTTAAACATTATTTATTTGAACTCCTCTTTCTTATAGAAAAGGAAGCAGAGGCCAAAAAGAGTGAAGTGACTTGCTCGAGGTTACCCTTCTGGGTCCCCAGCCACAGCCATCTTATGCCTCAGGGCAACTTTCCTTACCCCTATTGTCCCAGGTTAACCTCAAGTAATATCTGGAATCGCAACTTTCCTGAACCAACTAAGAACTTTTACATTGTTATATGCTTGAATCTGTGCACTGTAGTATTTTCGTGAATTCCAAAATACTTATGTGTACATAATGCCATTTCACATCCCAGCATCCCTCCTGAGTCGACAGGTGCAGGCTGTTTCCATTTGATAGCAGGACAGAGAGCAGAAGCAGCTGCCTGACACCTAGCCAGTCTAGTACGTTTTTCTAGTTTCCTTTTTCTTGGTTAATGTTTCTCTGCCGTCATGCTGGTGCAAGTGAGACTTATCCCAACAATTGAGGAATTCTCTAGCCACACGCTGCAGGGCCTGCGAACAGAACGAAGGCTGTTTGGAAATTCCACTTTTAATATTACACAGCCATAAAGATGGACAAACATAGGAACTTCGCAGCAACTTGGATGGATTTATAGTCCATCATACTCAGTGATCTATCACAGAAACAAAGAACAAAGTATCACATGTTCTCACTCATAAGCTGACCCTGAACATTTACCATAATACTATATAATAAAGGAGTTGGCAGTAGCGGGATACTGCCAGGATTGGAGAGGGGTGTTTGGGGGAACACAACATCAATAAGCGTACCTGATCTGAAACCAGGCAAAGTGGGTACCAAAGGGAGGCCCAAACTTTACCTGTACGATGCCCACTTGTATACCTAATCCTGAATTGTACCCTACATCTTTAAAACAAAATATATTTTTAAAAAAGAGAAAATTCTGCTTTTGCATCTGTTCCCAGAACTGGAATGAAATGACAGAGCTGGTCTCCTCTAATGGCAATTACTGCAATTACCGCAAGGCCTTTGCCGACTGCGACGGCTTCAAAATCCCCATCCTTGGCGTGCACTTGAAAGACTTGATAGCCGTCCACGTCATTTTCCCAGACTGGATGGAGGAAAACAAAGTGAACATTGTGAAAATGCACCAGCTCTCCGTGACCCTGAGTGAACTGGTCTCCCTGCAGAATGCCTCTCACCACTTAGAGCCCAACATGGACTTGATCAACCTGCTTACGGTGAGTTCCGAGGGACCGCGTGTGTGTGCTTCCAGGGGCAGGGGGAGGTGTGTGCCACCATTCGTTGGGGGAGTCTTGGTTTCGGGGTCAGAAGAAAGGAACAAAACACAAAGTGTGAGGGAAAGGGAATCCCACACCCATAACCTAGGGGCAAAGACACTTCCCTTTGGCGGGAGGGCCACACTCTCTGTTTCTGGAATTCTTAGAACGAGGCCTTCAGGCTGTCCTTAGCTTCACTCTCCTTCATCACACTCATCCCCCTTGTCACCTCCCTCTGTGTGTCCTCGGATCATCAGCCTCTCTTTACCCTCACAGCACTGCTTTGAGCTGAAGCTTAGAGAAGTGCAGAGACCACCTCTGTGATCTCCGTGCCCACCTCCAACCTGTCCCAGTCACCAGGGGAGAGCTCCCAGTGGCCTTCAAGGTCCTGCAGGACTCCGTCAGCCCAGTCTCGTCTGTCCACACCTTCTCCAACACATGCCCGGCTTGGAGGAATACTGGCCTTCTTGGTCTTCTCACCAGGAGATACTGCAGCCGCTGCACGTTCTTGTGGCTAGATCCAGCCATGTAGCCAGTACAAATTCAAATGTCTCTGGGCTGGGCATGGTGGCTCATGCCTGTACTCTCAGCACTTTGGGAGGCCAAGGTGGGAGGATGACTTGAGCCCAGGGGTTCAAGACCAGCCTGGACAACATAGTGAGACTCCCATCTCTACAGATTTTTTTTTTAATTAGCAGGCATGATGGTGCACACCTGTAGTCTCAGTTATTCAGGAGGCTGAGATGGGAGGACTGCTTGAGTCTGGGAGTTTGAGACTGCAGTGAGCTTTGGGTGTACCACTGCACTCCAGCCTGGACAATAGAGCAAGACCCTGCCTCTAAGAAAGAAGAAGAAGAAGAAAAAAAAACAAACTTTGAAAGCCTCTACCTTTCTGGAACATTCTTTTCTCTCCAAAGCAGTAATGTCTCTGCCACGTGTTGCCTTTGCACTATTTTCCTTGACCATGAGAGGTGTCATTTTGCCTTAGATTCTTGCTGTTTACCGACCTCACTCATCATACACCTGGTACTGCTCACAGCACTTGGCACATTTAGGAGCTCAGCAGATAATCTGAATGCTGTTAAGAGTGATGTGGCTTATAATACAAGAAATTCACAGCACCCAGAAGTGGTATGCAATTGGTGTGCAATCCCAGCACTTTGGGAGGCCCAGCACTTTGGGAGGTTGAGGTGGGAGGATCACTTGAGGCCAGGAGGAGTTTGAGACCAGCATGGGCAGCATAATGAGACCCTGTTTCTAAAAAAAAAATTCTGGCTGGTCACAGTGGCTCATGCCTGTAATCCCAGCACTTTGGGAGGCTGAGATGGGAGGATTGTTTGACCCCAGGAGTTTGAGACCAGACTGGGCAACATAACAAGACCTCATCCCTACCAAAAAAAATTTTGCTGTATGTGGTGTGTGCCTGTAGTCCCAGTTACACAGGAGACTGAGGTCAGAGGATTGCCTGAGCCCAGGAGGTTGAGGCTGTGGTGTACCATGATCATGCCATTGTACCCCAGCCTGGGAGACAGAAAGAGACCCTGACTCAAAAAAAAAAGAAAGAAAAAGAAATTCACCTCTCACTGCTATTTTTTGTGTGTGTGCATGTGTGTGTGCATGTGTTTAGCTGGTTTCCAGATCCTAGAACTTTTGGGCACCACAGGTGTGCACAGGAGAACATTTCTCATTGGCAGGAGAAGCATAACCAGATTCTCTCACCCTTGCTTAAACAAGGAGGGGTGCAGCTCCTTTGTTTGGGTGGATGACCCTGAAGCATACTGAATTGACTGTCTTTTTTTGTTGTTTTTTATGACCGTGGAAAATGGAACCACAAACTCCTCTCAAGCCCTGAGAGCCGGAATCCCCTGGGACCGCTGCCTTGGAATGTGAGCGTGGTTTCTAGGCCTTCTTGCAAACTGTTCCTAGAGCATGTAATTGCTTACCAAAAAATAGACTTCTGCGTGCAGGCATGAATGCTAGCTGCACCCTTAGAATAAGGCAGAAATGACTGACATACAGATATACGGATCTCTTAGGGTTGAGTTTATGCAACAAAGAGGAAACACACAGGCATTCTCTACTGGGGGGAGAAGCACCCAACCTACAATCATGCAGGCACCTGCATTTACTAAACATTTGCTATGTAAATCTGTTTCCATGACTGACTGACCAGAGCTGCAGTGAGACTGCAGACCCTCAGATGATGCCTGCGGACCTGTCTTCATGTGGGTCTCACGTAGGTTCCAAGTGTTCGTGTCCAGGCTGACCACGATGTCACGCATAACTTCATGAAGCAGGTGTCAACCCTGGGGCAAGTTCTTGTCCAGATAACAGATAATAATGGAGTAGGGAAATTAATTTTCAGTTGTAAATGCAGCAAGCAACCGTATGACAGACAGATATTTACAGAAGAAATATTGAAAGCTCTGTGATAACATTTTAGGGGCACAAATGAAAAATCTGAACACTAGAAATAAAAACTCAGAAAAAATTTCTTTTTCTGGGAAGAAGAGAAAAAAGAAAAAGGAGGCCAGAGTGTCCCCAGCTTCTCAAATTAAAGGAACATTTAGAAGCCACCACGCATAGTATTTAGTAACTACAGTGTTGTGTAGCATGGTGTATTGGCAAAATCCTAGATGGAGGATCTTGCTTGCAGCCCTGTCTCTGCTGTTGCTTAATCAGTCTCCTTGCTAACTAGCCTTGACTTTGGTTTTTTTATTTTTTATTTTTTGAGTTGAGGTCTTACTTTGTTGCCCAGGTAGGTGTGCAATGGCACAATCACAGCTCACCATAGCTTCATTCTGGGCTCAGGTGATCCTTCTGCCTCAGCCTCCTGAGTAACTGGGACTACAGTTGTGCGCTACCACACCTGGCTAGTTTTTTAATTTTTTATAGAGATGAAGTCTTGCTATGTTGCAGGCTGATCTCGAATGCCTAGGCTCCAGTAATCCTCCCACCTCGGCCTCCCCAAGTGCTGGGATGATAGCCATGAGCCACCGTGCCTAGCCTTGGCTTTTTATGAGTCACATACATGTTTGGATTAGAGCCGTGTGAGTAACCACAGCTGCCTGAGTGCTTCTGAGGGTTCCATAAGCCAGCACTGGGAGGGATGGTGTGTGTTGCCCCAGGCTCTAAGTCAAGGTTTTGCCCGAAGTCATTGCTTTTGTCTAAACATGGCTCAGGTGAAGTAACCAAAATGTGACTGAGAGCCCTGGAGGACAGAAAAAGAGAACTCTCAAGTTCATCAACAATTATGAAGGGCCTACTTTGTGCAGTAGGAGGTATAGTAATGCTTGAACTTTCTATATTAGTTGATTACAGATTTCACAGCAACTTTCACATACATGTCCTCGGTAGATTCTCACAAATACTCTGTGATGCGGCCTAGGCAGGGCAGTGAGTGTCACATCGCCCCTGTTCCTTCCTTTTTTTTTTTTTGAGTTGGAGTCTCACTCTGTCACCCAGGCTGGAGTGCAGTGGCCGCTCCCGGCCACCGCAGCCTCGCCTACTGGGCTCCGGCGATCCTTCTGCCTCAGACTTCCGAGTAGCCGGAATTACAGGCGCACGCTACCACGCCCGGCTGATTTTTGATTTATGGTAGAGATGAGGTCTTGCCAAGTTGCCCAGGCGGGTCTCGAACGCAAGGGCTCAGGCAATCCACTCACCTCAGCCTCCCAAAGGCATGGGATTACAGGCTGAGCCACCGAGCCCGGCTGTTCCTTCCTTTTTTCACAAAAGAAGCAACAAGAGGCTTGCAAACTTCAGCTCCCCAACCATTGGGGGTAAGGGGCGGGGTTCTCTCTCTCAGATGGTTTGTCCTGAACGAACATTTGCTCGCTGATGGGAACAAATTGCTAATTTACTTTATTTCACATCTCTAAAAATTAATCAGAACCTCTCTCCCTCTTCATGGTTGTGGAGTGAAAGGAGTCATTGAGAGACAAAATCTAAGGGGCGGGGAATATGTCATTTTCATCATTGTATCCTTGGCCCCTTGAAAAAGTCACCCACAATGTGAAGAAGGATTGTTCCTCCTTTCTGGGAAGACTGGAGAAGACATTTCCCCTAAGATTCCAATTCACGCAGCCAGGAGCTATTTTTATTTTTTTTGTTTTTTTGAGTTGGAGTCTCACTCCGTCGCCCAGGCTGGAGTGCATTGGTCCACTCACGACCACCCCAGTGTCGACCTGCTGGGCTCTGGCGATCCTTCTGCCTCAGCCTTCCAAATACCTGGAACTACAGGTGCGTACTACCATGCCCGGCTAATTTTTTTTTTTTTGGTTGATTATAGAGATGAGGTCTCGCCGAGTTACCTGGCCTGGTCTCGAACCCTCAGGGTCTCAAAGTGCTGGGATGACAGGCTGAGCCACCGAGCCCGGCCAACCAGCTGATGCTTCTGTTTCGGGATATACGAAACAGTCTGAATCTTTTCATGGTATTTTTAGCCCCATCAGCTACTTTTACCATTCTGAGTTCATGCAAATAATTGGAAAGCCCCTGTATTTTTACAGTCTCATTTTTTAAAAAAAGAAGAAGAGTTTCAAAAATGGTGAGTGGGGGAGTTGGGTGCCCAAGTGTGTTTTATTTTGCAATAAACGGTCAAGCCAATGTTGACCCCTCAACCTGGAGACTAAATCTGCAGCCGTCTCTGCTGAAGGGGTCAGCCGGTGAATGCAGCAACCCCAAAACAGTAGATCGAACGTGTCAGAAACAACCAGGCTCAAGATGGTTTAGACAGAAGCAAACATTCGTGAAATCCCATTGACAAGCTGCCGTCATTATTATTATTTGAGTCAGGGTCTTACTTTTTCTCCCAGGCTGAAGTTCAGTGGCGTGATCACCACTCACCACAGCCTCGACCTTCTGGGATCTTCCTCCCACCTCAGCCTCCCAAGTAGCTGGGACCTCAGATGCATGCTATCACACTGGCTTATTTTTTGACTTTTTTGTAGAGACAAAAT